CCAGCACACAGAAACATTATGAGGATGTGGTACTGTGCAAGATGCATAGTTTAGACACTTCAAAAACTTTTCCAGTAACCGGAAATATTTCCGGGGATGGGGAATTTTTCGGGTTTGAGAAAGTTGTCTGGTTACCCGGAAATCTCATCCCGGAGCCACTCTGCACCAATTGTTCCAGCTAACAGGGATATCACTGTAGTAGATTTGTAGTGTAGTATTACTGGAAAATAATACTATTATTATGTTATAAATGTATTTATTTGAGGAATTATTATTATTTTATGCATTACTGTACTTGCTCTACCAAACACAGACAGCCTAGCGGCCTGTGTGTGTCGCCGAGCACTTTTTATAAAAAATAATGCAAATAAAATATTCTAAATTAATTATTTATATCAAATAAGTATCATGACCAGTAAATATATGCATTACTGGCCATCCCGGACACAAAGGCAATCAGAAAATGGCCGCTAAATGCATAGTGACCACGAGCATCAGCTGTCAAAACAACACTGTCCCTTTATCTACCTCGCCACTGCTGCCAGCAGTGGTTCCCAAACTGGGGAGCGTGAGGTGGGTACAGGGGAGGCGTGAAGCCATATGCCAATATTTGCTATTTTGGGCTCAAAAAGAATATAATGAAACTTTCAGGAGTAATTCTCTCTGTTTGAATCTTCCACACATCCGTTCCAAAACCAAAGTATAGCAGTCACTATCCGTTTTCTATCATTTCATCTCTCTCCCCTTCAGTCTTGTACATGTCATGGATACCATACTGACTCTCAATACTTCTATCTTTCACAATGTTACCAGCCTCATCTTTAGTTACAGTATGTTAAGATTTATCTCAAACTCTGTATTTTAGTCTGGTTTCTTCTTCTTTTTAATGATTTTTTAATTAATTTTGCTTATAACTATGGTGTGATGTAATACCCACTCCACGAGAAAGTTTATTATGGTTTTTTATTTAATCAGCCTTTCAGTTAGGTGTGTGACTGTGCAGTGTGTTTTATGACTGTGTAGCGTGTGACTGCAGTGTGGCTGTGGTGTGGTGTGTGACGGTGTGGTGTGGTGTGTGACTGTGTGGTGTGGTGTATGACTGTGGTATGGTATATGAGGCTGTATGATTGTTGGTGTGTGACTGTGTAGTAATGGCATGACTGAGGGTCACTGTATGGTGCAGTGTCTGACTGTGTTGTTATTTGCACTGAAAATGTCTGTAGCGAAGAAAAAATATATCGAAGAGTATATCAAGTTTGGCTTCACCGTTACTGAGAAACATGGGAGTTACCTCCCTCAGTGATATCCGTCATGCCGCCACCGTTGACGCAATTTGGCCTGGAACGACATTTGAACACAAACCACAATGCATTGAAAGACAAGCCAAAGGAGTTTTTCACAGCCAAACTTAAAGAGTTAAATGTATGAAGCTGGACACCACCGGAGTTTTTCATCAGGAGACATTCAAAGTGGTGGCAGCATCTTATGAGCTGTCACTACTTATTGCCAGAGCAAAATAGGCTCACTCTATTGGGGAGAGAGGGGCAGGGAAATTTTGCTCAAAACTGCACTCTTAGGCATTGTTCCTTATACATATCTAAGACTCCATGCCAAATTTGAAGCTGATATGTCGAGGTTTAGTCTGCCGCATTTTCTACTGAAATTTTTAACACCTACAGTACTAGCCAAACAGCCGCTGTGGCGGTGCAATGTTCTGTTCAGTGTTTTATCAACTTTTTTCATATCTCTTATTTCATTTAAGAAAAGTTGTCTTGTTGCAGATGAGTATGGTGCTATGTCTATATTGATTATCAGCCTTTTCTCATTTCATTTCTCAATGTTGTGTTACTGTACTGTATAATGTAGGGAGACCTTATGCCTGGGTAGGATTGGCGCTACTTGAAATTATTCAAACAGTTTTTACGTTAAGCGGATTCACGTAGGATCACCCGCACGTGCTTCCTCAGTCACCCATAAGCAGTCATTCTGAGGCCTGCGTCTTGATTAGGGGAGTGGGGAAAATTGATTTTGATGCTGGTAAGTAAATTTTATTCTCTTATAAGGTTTGCTGTACAGCATGTGTGAGGTTATAGACAAAAGTACTGTAGTATCAGATTTAGCCATAATTCAACTTAGCATTTAAAAGTTGTTTATCGAAACAGTTCATGTTAGGCTTCTTGATATATACCAAAATAATTTATTTATATGATCACTGATGCGGCTGGGACAGATTTGGCTCAACAAAAATGGGGCAAGTTGACACAGTACTAGTTACATACTTTCCATTTTCATTTATTTGAATTGGGCTACATTATATTTCTGATTAACTAATTTTGGCGTTGTTACTAATGCACAAGCCTATTGATGATGTGTTTTTCGAAATTGCTCTAATAACTAACTTTTTCTTTTTCTTTTCAGGTGATCTGATCAATTTGCTATCAAGATAATACTGTATTAACGGGCAGCCACAGATCATGCATTGATTGGCTCTGCAAGTGTTCTTCAGTGGACAAACTTCCCTCGAAGGCGAGGATGTTAAGAACTGCTGGCGATATAAATGTGATGTGAAAGTTTGCGAATGTCTCAATGATTATAAAGATGGCCATGGGACTGTTCAGAAATATGAGAAAAAGCTTGGTGGAGATAGGCAGAATGTTCCTCTTCTTGTAAAAAATATTGAGGAAGGTTGAAGAATTGTACAGTAGAGGAATTGAACTAAATAAGAACAAGAATGTAGGCAAAAGCTGCATTTCAGGTAGAAATGAAAGAGTTGTTTGATATCTGCTTGTTATTGTCCTTGCCTCCTGTCAGGATGTGAGGTGCATAGTTAAAATTAATGACGGATATCACCTGGCATGTAATTGTGTTATAAAGTTCCCAAACGTGAGGTGCAGTTTCTCCTTGACCAGCGAGGTGATAGGAAGATGAAAGATTGCAGGGGTTGACATGAGTGGCGAAGATGTGCAGGACAGAGGATTCACGGCAAGAGAAGCATGATCGCGGACAGAGTTAGGAGACAGCTTGAGCAAAAACATATGGAGTATCTGGTAGCTGGAGATATTCCTTATGTTGAGGATAATTCCAGATGATTCAAGAGATATTCTCTCGTCAATACTGATGCTGATTTTTGTCCTAGATCAAGGGCTCTGACAGACACCAGTTCACAGAACCGGACAAGACTCCCTACACTGGCTGCAAGCGTGACCCGATGCTTGATTAGTGATTATGCTGGAGCTGCCATTGCTACTGCCACCTTAACTGACTATGGCATTATCACAAAGGATGACAGCAGTAAGGTTATTGAACCACATAAGCTGCGGGATCGCGAGACAAAAATACGATTTAAGAGGCAAGAAATTGAGATGGCTAGTTTAGATAATTTGGCGTCACTCTATTTTGATGGCAAGAAGACGCCACTTCGTGTGATGATAAAGAATGAAGGCCGAGAAATGGAGTTAGAGGATGATGGTGAAAAGATCATTATGTCATCATGGTTGAGCCTGGCAATGAATATCTCACACATGTGACTCCCAAGACTGGACACGGAAGCAGATTGCCAAAACTATTCACGAGTTTCACCAATTGGAGAAAATCTAACCCAGCAGCCCATTGTGTGTGTGTTGGTTGTGATGGAACCAATGTAAATGTAGGATCAGAAAATGGAGTCATTCATCATCTTGAAATGTTACTTGGTCACCCGGCTCCATTATTTCATATGTCAACTTCACGTAGGCTGCCTTTCAGCGCGGTTTTTTTATCACTATGATGGTAAACCAAGTGGTCCTGAGCATTGGCGTGGTCCCATTGGAAAGCAGATCAAGGAGTCTTTGTCTGAGCTTCCAGTTGTCGCCTTCCAGCCAGTCAGTTTCCCTGATTTCCCTGTGTTTAATGATGAAGTGGAGAAAGATCTGTCCTGGGATCAGAAATACCTGTATAGGATTTGTAAAGGAGTTATCACAGGTGTTGTTGAAGATGACTTGGCTGCTATTGAGCCAGGTCTTCCCTGTGTGTCAAGGTGGAACACCTTATGGAGTAGAATCCTCAGGCTGTATGTAGCAACATCAAGACCCAGCCATGAGTTGAAAAGAATTGTCATTACAACAATAAAGTTCAGTGCTCCAATGTGGTTTTACATCAAGATACACCCTTACGTAACACACGGCTCGAGGAACGTATTCCAGTCCCTGCTATATATGAAACACCTGAATAGTGAGGAGGAGACGATAGTGAAGAAGGCTGTCCAGAGAAATGCATACTTCGCCCACACAGATCAACTTCTTCTTGGTATGTGTGCAGATGAGGACATGACTGTTAGAGAAAAAGCTGTCTCAATGATAAGAAAAATTAGAGAGGAGAATCAGCAAAAGGAAGAATGCACTGGCAGATCTGAAGAGGAGGAGGAAGATTCTGATGCTGCTGTTGACGAGAATTTGTTAAACTATACTGATGAGGAGGGTAAAGATGGAGATGGGAATGAGGATGTGCCTCCTGTAGTCAACATGAGAAAGGTGGTGACTCCGAAACTAAAGTGGCAAGCAAAAAACTATCATTCCATGATTAACTGGAGGAATGAACTCAAGACTGAGCCTCCTTACATTGCTTCTCTGTCAAATCTACAGGTTAATGACATTCTTGAGACACCATTAGTGGTGCCCAAGTGGCCAAACAGCACTCAGGCGGTCGAGAGAGGCATAAAAGTGATGACTGAAGCTTGCACTGAAGTGACGGGATACTAATCGAGAGATGGATATATTAGGCAAAGATTATTGTCTAGGAAAATGATGCCAAGGTTCCGCACAAAAAAGAATTTCAATATGAACTTGTAATGATTTTCTATACGGTGTACCTGTAAAGTAACATGTGAATTAAATCGATGTCACCCATGTAAAATTTATCATTATCCTGGAAAACATTAAATGACACCTAATTTTTGGTATACACTAAAAGTTGACAAAAAGTCGTTCGCGATGCGGCAGGGTAAATATGCATGAAATGGCATGAAATTTTACACAGGTGTTTGTTACAGCCATACAAGCCGTGCCTGAAAAGTGCAGCCGGCAACTCAAATAAAATTGTTTTTTCCCTGCCCCCTATTGGGGAGACTCTTGTAAAGCCAAGCTTGTTGAGTGCTGCAAATATTGTGCTTGGAGACAAAAGCCAGAAAAGTTATCTAAGATTTCCCTGTCTGATAACACAGTGAAGAGTCTCATTGATGAACTTACAGATGACATAAAAGAAAAAGTTTGACAAAATAAGAGCGTCCCATTTTTTTTGCAATACAGTGCGGTGAAACAACTGATGTTGCCCACTGCTGCCAGTTGCTTGTTTATAAGGGGGTGAGGACTTCGCAAAAAGTAAAAGGGGGCGTCATGTTAAAAAGTTTGGGAACCACTGTTCTCGAGGATCAATATATAGCTTTTCTTACTTCTTTTTTTATTGTTTTTTCATTTAAAAGGGTTAAAAATTATTTTTGGAAAAGTTTTTATTTTTCTTGATTCACCCCCGCGTGGGGGGACAAGGCCAGCGGCACCCTAGGCCAGGGCTAGGGGGTTAAATAATGGAACAAAATATGATATATAATTTGACTTCAAAATAAAACGACAAGCTAAATCAGTGTTGGTGGTGTGGTGGTGGTACTAAAGTATGACTCCGCAGCAGGTGACGCAAGTTATCAGCAACACTGAAGAACTCAAGGATGCTTTAATGAGTGCTGAGCCCAGCTTGCAAAACAGTTTGGTGGAAACCTACAGACAATGTTACCAGGAATTTAAATGCCGTCACCAAACTCTCACCACTGCCTACTTTAGACCTCGACAATTCAAGGAGAATCCAGTGACGAGGACCCTGGCACTCAGGAGATTGATGATGAAGATGAAGTCACTTTACAAGTGCCTGCAGTTGATTTTGAAGGCTTTGGATCCGACTAGCCTTCACCCCCTGCCTTGGACCCCCATAGTCTCCCAGAGCTTCCCTCACATCCACTATTAGGTGGAGTATCACATACAGTAATTAAATTTCTCGGGTTTCATAAAATATTTATTTAATAATCTAGATTCAGTTTATGTGACATTACGTGTCATTTTCGGAAGGTTAAGTTGGTTACCCAAAGTCATTCTATCTGGCAAGTCCAGTACAATAAAGCAATTTTAACACATGTTAAAGGGCATCATTTGCGCTGATTTCCGATGCACAGACATGTACCAGTACGACATACCAGCACAAAATGAGACCCCACTGTATTCACACAGGAATAAGGAGCACCTCTTACAACTTTTGTCAGATGAAAGTCTTCACAGTAAAGGGCAGCACAATACTGTACTGTACACACTAAAACTGTGAAATAGTCTAGCACTTTAAACAGCATATGGGAATGCTGCTGAAGAAGATATAAGTACTTTGAGAGGCAAGTTAATGCAAATACTGAGCAATGATAATTTTGCAGTCATGGTGTTACTTGGTCAAGGCTACACATTACACAAGCCTCTCTTGACTCAGAGGTGGGTGATGCATAAGGATAAAAATGAAGGTTAGACAGTCAACAAACAGGGAATATATACATTATATAAATGAGTGCGCTAGTGAAATTTGATCTGGAATAAACACTGATGAGGCATGACAGTTAATTCATATTCACTAAATTTTTTAAACATCATAAGATTAAATTCATCACTAGGACTCCTCCAGAATAATATAGCTGATGCTTGCTACATTGGTGATATCTTCTGTTCCTTCAGTAACTTGGACAACATTGTACTCCTGCTCATCTTCCAATGTCCCTATGTTAGCACCTTCATATGTGGTGATGGTTCCCTCTTCCAGCTGCATACAGTGTTGCTCCTGGAAATTTTGATGAGGGTCATCATGTTGGTATTGCTCTTCATAGAAGCCTTCCCCATTCTGCTGCTGTTCATAATGAACTTGTTGTCCATTATGATCAAACTCATACTGACCCTGCTGAATTTCAATGTCTTGTTGGATTTCAATGCCACCAACCTCCTCATCACACGATAAATTCCGGGGCATTCTCGAGTTTCTTGGCTGACGTTTACGCAAACAGTTATTTTCTCGCTGATGACGAGCATAGCTCTTGGACAAGGTGTCCTCCCAAGCTACCCCATGTTTCTTTATCAAATGAGTTCGCAGCTTTTTACGGTCGGCATAAACTTTAGTGCAATAATTACACTCACTTGGCACCTTCTCTTGATGTCTTCTTTTTCCATGTTCTGTCACATCACTCTTACGCTTGAAGGTCTTCCCACACTGTTGACAAGGGTAGATTTTAGTACTGTGGACATAAATTTTATGTTGTCGCAATTGGTGATACTTTTCAAACTGAATGTGGCATTTATCACACTGCCACTTGTTGTTGGCATGCTCATAGGAGATGTGGCATTTTAGGCTTGATTTTATATTAAACTTCATAGAACAGAAGTTACAAGAAAACTTCTTCTGATTTTCATGCATATTTGCAATGTGTATATCAATATACTTAGCACTGTACATTTTACCGCATTCTTTACATTCAACTGGTGGTAACACATTCAAACCATGTTTTTCCTGCATATGTTTCTCCAACTGGTTACGTGTCCTGGAGTGGTATATACACATTTTACAGCGGTGTTTCAATGGAGGCTTTTGTGATCGTTTGTGTACCTTTGACATATGAAGTCGAAGGGATCCTATTCCATGCAATCTCCTACCACAGAGCTCACACTCTACCATCACTAAGCCATTAGCTCCACCCACCCCACATACATCACCATGAGCTGAACGTTTGTGTCTCACCAGTAACAGGCGGTTAACAAATGTTTCTCCACAGGATTTGCACATAAAACTTCGGGATTTCTCAGGCCCCTTTGTAACATTCACTTGTAATTCAGGCCCTTCAGCTCCCTTTTGTATATGTTCAGCATCTGAGCCAAGAGCTAAAGACATCTCTAAGCGACGGTCAATGACTCCCCCATAACCATCCCCTTCCAGAATAACAACAGAATTCTCATGGCAGCTGTCTATGTGATTGTTTAGATCTACAAAGCTGTCACAAACCTGGTTGCAGAGTTTGCAAGTAACTTTAGTTCTAGCCCTCAGCAGCATTGGTAATGAGTGACCATCACCAAGTGATGTCTGAAGATTATTTTCTTTGTCTATCTTCTTATTTGTTCTGACTGATCTTGGATGCTCTAACTGTTCATGTTTATCAAGGTCCATTTGAGTTTTGTACAGCTTTGCACAGATTTTACAATGCAATTCTGTGTTCTGGTTTTTCTCTGAACTCTCTGTTTTATACATTAAGCTTCCTTTATTTCCACAAGCTCCAATATAATTGTGGCATTCATCTGGAGCTGGTAGAGCCTGATCTTCTGTGTGTATGTGATTTTTTTTTTTTTTTACATTGTTTATGATTACATGTTTTCTTACACCTTCATAAGCCCCTGTATCATTATCATACACATCATCATCACGTTCAACATCACTCACTGAACTCCTCGCTCTTCCATGCTCATCCCACATCATTTCTGATTTAATTTGTACTGGATTTTCCACAACTGTTCCCTGTCTATCATTACTCCAATCCATTGTATCTGTATCCTCTAATATGGAAGATAAAAATTCTTCATCAATGACCATGTTGTGGTAGTGGCGGAGGTGTTCCACCAACTCGTCGCGCATTGAGAACTCGGTACTACATGCAGTACATTTGCATATATTGTTCTTTTCACACTTCAAGTTTGGTGTCAAAACTTCACAACTCTGCCTCATATTACTATGTTGTATCTCCTTTGCAAGAAGTGTTTTGAGAGTTGGTTGTAAGTTAAACCATTGCCATTTCCGCTCTATTCTGTGTACAGCAACTTGGTGAAGATTCCAGTCATCATCACCATATAAATCCATTCCACAAAATCCACAAATGCGCATTTTATTAGAGGAAGGTTTTTGTTTAACTCTCACCTTTGGTACCTTCTCAGTTGTACCACTTGGTACTACAGGAGACTCCCCTGCCATGATTGGTTTTGGTAAAATAAGACCGTACTTTTTTGAAGATTTAGGAGATAGCTGCATATTTTGTGATGTTTTCTCTATCTGGTTCATCTTCAGACACACTTTATTGCTGTCTGAACCAAAGGCAGCTGGAATTATGTCTCCAATATTTTTGGGCCAAAGTTGCCTCATATGTGAAGTAATAGATAATAACTGTTGATACACAACATCACCATCTGACACTAAAGAGTAGCATTGTTGACACACAATAATGGATGAGCTGTCCAAGGAAGGTCTACAAGCTGGTAATGGGGAAGTTATGCCTAAGCAGTGCAAAAGAGAAATGGGGTCCAGCAAACTTGAGGGAAGAGGTTTACTGAGTGCCATGCAAGTAATCCTCTCTTCTCTGGTTAACACACTCCTGCAGAAACAGCACCTCTGGTCACCGCCAACTTGTACATCATTATACACATTATTAATCTGACCCACTGTTTCACTGCTTGAGATTTTTTTGGTAATTTCCATTGCAACTGTGTTATTAGCTTCAGCAATATCATCATCATCATCTTTATCAGCCAGTTCATCATCAAGCTGTCTTGAGATTAAGATGTCATCATTACAAGAGGAGCGTGTTGAAGAGTTCTCAATGAAACTGTCTTGACTGGTTGACGGTTTACCATCTGAATTTCTGAGACCATGATGCTCAATAACTTGTAAATTGCTTTGCAAAGTCGGAGTGCTTGACAAAAGTTTGTCAAGTTTTGTACACTGAACAGTGGGAACCTTTGCCTGAGCAGAGCCACAGAATCTTCCATCATCCATTTCCCTTGTTATCAATATAGTACCCAAAGGATCAACATAAAAACCAGTTTTGCTCGAGGAATAACTTGCAGGAACATTACGTATTGTACGTGGGGAAATAGTTCTCACAACAACTGAGCCCGTCCTTTTTATCTTTACGTTGTTGCTACTTGAAGCATCATCTGCACAAACACTATGGAGTTTAGATGAAACAACTGGAGATTCATTACTCTGCAAATTTCTTGGTACAATATTTCTTACATTCTGTTTATTAAAAACTGATGTACCATTTCTCCGATTAGATGATACATACTTGCGGCCGTCGCTAGCAACGGTGTTCTTCATCTTATGAGTAAAGACATTTTTTACCTTGGTGGAAGCAGCTGTGATTAAAGGCGAGGAGAGAATTACACGAGATCCAGTGGATGTTGTGATGGCACCACTCATGTTACCATCACTGCTGGCATGATTTTGTTTACCACTAGACGTGTCATTGGGAATAGTATCATTTATATTTATGGTGACGAGCTCTTCTTTTGTGTTACCAATATCACTGATACATATACCAGTGATGCTTGTGGTTGAATCGTGTTCACCTTCACTTGGCCTAACAATGTGAGCTTCAGTTACAACAGCTCTAGAGTTTTGTTCTGGTTCACTTGGTACATTAACATGAATATCAACCATGTCATTTTCTTCTTCATTTTTACTTTTCCTGGAAGAATACTGAACACCCTTGGAGTTCTTGACCACACTGTCCACCTTGAAAGAAAAAACAATATTTTATCTACATATGAAGGAACAGAACAACATGCTAAAAATAAATGCAATATTCTGTAAGAAAAATATTATGGTACTTAATTTATCATTAAAAAACAATCAAAAAAACATTAATGTATATAAACATGTGGCAACAATGGTAAGGAAATGAAAATGCAAATTATAAAATACCTAACATGAAAAACATTGTTCAAACACTTCATTATACCCATTTCACATTATATTCCCATATTTGTTCCTTCTAACATAACAATGATGTGTCCTTCTCTGACCCAAGTCAGATGTGAAAAGGGTGTTACCCAGTGTGAACCTAACAAACATGGCAGGTTTTCTCCAGGTACTCTGGTTTCCTCCTGACCTAAAACTGGACAACAAAGGTTAACCCTTAGGCCCCGGGTGACGTTCCAAAACGTCCACCTATACCCCCCCCCCCCCAATTTTTTTTAAAGTTGATTTTTTCTTGACTTACCCTCACGGGGTACTGCCAGCATCACCCTAACCCGGGGCTTAAGGGTTAAAACAAAGAATAGATCAGCATACAAAATGGCTTGTAAGTGGTGGAAATAAAAAATCAAAGTACAATACTGTATACTGTACTAATGATCAAGAACAGTCACGATAAAGTGTTTATTCTGCCTAACTATATCAACTACGGCCTCCCTGGCTCATTAACCCCAAACAGCATCTTGAAGCTTTCTCCTACATCACCATATAGTCCTCCCAAGTTTAATACACTATCCCATTTCACTCTATCAACAACCTTGTCAACTTTAAGAAATCGTGAATTTACTGTTATTTCCTTTACAAACACTAAACTACCTTCTGATAAAGCAGACTCAACCATGTCCTCTGATAAACTCTCATCCCCTCATCTTACTACCTGTAACCTTCTTAATCCTCCCATCATTATCATGTTACATATTTCACCTCCACTTGACAAACTGATAAACTTTACAATTAACAATTTCACTCTAAATTTTCCCTTTTCATTTAAACATTAATACTAATATTACATGAATCCAGTCCTCCAAGGTGGTTAGTGTAGTACTGTACTCAACTAGAGCTTTATAGACTGAAGCCTGCATTTTTCAAACATGACCAACACAGCTGACTCATGCTGGGTGCACATGCTGATGTCACAACTCACTGCCTTTTACCAAAGTGGTGAATTTAGTTTTAAAAGATACCCCCTGGAGATTTGGTTGTTACAATATTGCACAACTAGTTAATGAATTAGTCCCGGCCACATATGTTCACAGGTATACTGAGTTCACCTCTTTGACTTAGTGCTATAACAATGAATCACTATGTTATGAACTTTGCCAATCAATCCTTCATTTTTAAGGTACTGCCTCAACCTTTCATTAAACCTGAATAGTACAAAAAAATTATGAAATCTTTTAATGTACCTGAGGATGTCATGATCGTAATGACGGCTAACCTGTTAAACTAATGATCCACATTACGCTTACAAGTCCACAAAACCTTCTGAGTCTCCCAGTGGAAATGTCCTCTGTTCTTCCTGTTTCTTTGATGACATCATCAAGATGTCGTATGTTTGTTGACTGTAGTTGCAAACTCTTTCGGCTACCGAGACCCTATAAACCTTTTTTTTCACCTATGAATTTCAGAGACTGATAATCATAGTGAAATTGTGGTAGGGAGGTTAGCTGAGGAATTAGTTAATGTTCTGAAGGGAATTTTTGAAATCTGCCTCGGGTGTTGTAGTAAGGCGTTGCGTGTTGGGTTCTGTTGCCATCCAACCTTTTGTAATCAATTTAATTCTTGCTTTTGATAGCTCAGTCAGAGCATTGTTGGTAAAGATAATAGTAGGGAATGAAACTGAATTCGTAGTCTCAGTTTCAAAAGTCAGAGTGTTACAGTAACGTAATTCAGTGAAATGGTTGAGTAGGTGGAATCTGTGACTTTAGCAGGGGTGGAAGGCAGTGGTTGGTTTTCAAATCAGTGAGCCGCCACGCTTCCCTCCCACTGGTAGGTCACTCCACCTTCTCCGTGTTGTAATTCGTCATTTTTAAGTGATTTGACCTAATTAATAGTTTGTACAAGTGTTAAAGTAACGTAGTTAATGTGCTATGAGTGAAGTATTTTATGTCCTTACTTAATGTCCCTTTGAAACGTTGAGGTTCGTTATACACTGCCAGCGAGCCGCCACGCTTCCCTCCCACAGGTCCCTAACGCAGCCTAGGCCGTGTCTGTAGTGTGGATGACACATCCACTAGTCTTGGGAGATGTCTGAGGTCCAGTGGAGTCGGGTGTCCCCTTGAACCCCGACCGTCAGAAGCTCCACTACCACCCATGGGCCCCATAGGGGGTAGTATTCCCCTAACGCCCTGCCCCTGTGGTGAACCCGGATCTTCAAGCCCCCAAACTACTGCCAGCCCCATCATTGGTGGATGAGTACAGTACATAACTCGGTGGGGCTGTTGGTGTGGTGGTGTTAGTCCGCCGGAATTATCGAAGTTTGTTGGAAGGTGTCACTTGGTGATGAGACTCCCATGGCAGCCGCTGGAGTATTGCCCCTGGGGTATTGAGTGTTGTACTGGCAGGTGCCACTGGTTTTATTGGTGCTAAGGCGCTGTAAGAGTTTATGTGCGTTTTGGTGTGTGTGTACACCCTGTAGTGGTGCAAGTAAATTGAGCCTGAGGGCATGGTACCAGGAGTTCCTGTTTTGGGTGAATACAACGTCTTTTCTGTAACTATTTTTGTGTTTAATAAACATTATATTTGTATGTGGGTCTATGATTCACCTATAGTATTCACCGTTGTTCTCTCCCTAATACTCGATACTATATTTACATGTACCCATGGGCCTTCCTCTCACGTCACGCTACCAGGTCAGAGTATCAACGTAAGTTGTAAGAGTGCCAAGCCCTCGCAGGGTGGCAGCTAGTTGTTGTTCATACCCACCCCCCCCCCCTACAAGGACACAGATACTTACATCTGGTGTGCATTTTGCCAAGTTATCTGGTTGGCTGGAAACAAAGGCCACGACAGTTCCTGGCTCTTGATCACTCTTACTTGAGGTTTCTTGGACATTACTGGGTTTGTTGCCTGCACTGGTCATCTTGACTGATACACATCAACATAATCTGAAAAATAGTGAAAGTATTAGAGAACAAATATAATATATGCACACATGTACACCTCAATAAACGATGTCCCGTTCACCGATATTCCGCTTTAACAATGGACATGAATTTACACCATCTCGCTATACAATAAAAAAATTTGCTTTAATAATATCCATCAAACATCCATTGGTTGGATTTTTTTATCTCTAGTGCAAACTATGGGTTGTATATACTCAAATTAATCGCTCTCTTACAAGGATTCCAGCAATACAAGTTATATTTATCTATGTCAAGTCGGTGATATTTTATAAGGAAACAATATTTAACCTTATGCACCACCAAAAGTGCACATGTCAGCCGCGGCAATATCTACCTGTGCACCGGCACACGGCCAACCCGTGCACTACAGTCCAGACCTTGGTTCTTTGTTGTTCACATCTGTCTGTCATCGTATAGCTCCATGATTATCCTTCAGCATCATTGGCTGTATGTACGTTGAATTTATGGTCGGTGTGGGTTTTTTCTTACAGACAGACAGCATTAAAATTTAGATTGAACTGTGTTGTTATGGTGACTGTGAAGTCATATTTTCTGTTTTTTATGACTGTAAATTGCTTTGCCTCTGTTTTTGTGAACATGTAATCTGTGTCGGCCACTATCATTGTGCTTACGTTGTCATTCCTGGTTTTTACTTAAAGTGCTTTTGCTCTGTTTTAGTGACTGAAGTGAAACATACAGGCTAATAACATCTGTACTGGCTTTTTGCTGTGTGGGCAGGGCATGAAAGAAGAAGAAAATAACTGCAAGCCCTGATCATATGGCAGTAATTTCACGCCTGTGTCTGTTGTAGGCGAGGAAATATAATATTTACAGTACAGTACAGTACAGTGATATCTCCCTTAGCCGGAACAATTGGTGCAAAGCACTTCCGGGAATGAGAGATTTCCGAGTAACGAGACGACTCTCTCAAAGCTGGAAAAAATCCCTCATCCCCGGAATTTTCCGGGTAATGGAAAAATGTTCTCGGAAGTTCCAGAAATTGCCCATTACTTTAACTCTTGAACCCAGAAAAAATTTCCCCCATCCCCAGAATTTTCTGGGCACTGGAAAATTTTTCTCGGAATTTCTGAAAAAAGAACCTGATTTTCATCTCTCAAACCCAGAAAAAAACTCCCCCATCCCCGGAATTTTCCAGGTACAGGTGCTCCTCTACTTACGAACGAGTTACGTTCCTGAGGCTTGTTTGTAAGTCCAACTTTACTCATGTAGTTACCAAACATTTTGTCAAAAATTAAAAGATTATGGATATTTAGTACAGCTATACCCTTTAATACAGCCTTAAAACCTGGCTCACTCTTCTCCTCTTAGGTAATGTTTGTTCTATCTGGAATTTTCTCCAAAATAATCCAGTCTCATCCACATTAAACACCTGTTCTGGCAGGTAACCCCCTCAGTGACGATGTTTGTATCTTTGAAAGTTTGTAAGTTGAATGTTCTTAAGTAGAGGATCACCTGTATTGGGAAAATTTTCTCTGAATTTTCAGGAAAATTTTTCCAAGAAAATTTCAATTCCGGCTATCGGAGAGTTCCGGGTTTGAGGGATTCCGGCTAACGGAGATATTACTATTATGGTGCTGTTGGATCTCCCGTGGCAACCATGTTTTGGTTCATATCGTCTGTTGTACAGGAGCATCTGCGGTCTTTGTTTTCATGTCATCGGGCGTGTTTATTAGATTTTGATAATTTATGAGAACAACTCTATCACCAGAAGGAGATGTTCAATTTCATTCATTTTTCCCCACATGTTCTTATCATTATACAGGTAGTACCGGTAAGTATTTTAAAAGAAGTGACAACTTTTTATTTTAATTATATATTATTTTTTGTTTAGTTTTCTCTATCTACAATGATAAATCACTGGTAGGGAGCAGGGCATGAAGTACGAGGGAAATTGCTGGGTAAAATGCGGTGAAAAACTAATTACAGTATATGGCTAAAATGATGTTTCTACATGCTTTGTATGTGAAGAAATTAATTATTTACCATAAATACTACAGGTTGACAATCCCTTATCCGAAATCCTTGGGGCCAGAGGCATTTCGGAATTTTTCGGCTGTCAGCCTTTTTTTTTTTTTTTAATATTAGCCCACCCAGGCATAGATCACTGACCCACATCGGTGGGGGGAATATAATAAAAATTATAATAATTATAATAATTCATAGGTCTAGGTTCGTGTTTCTCACTTTTGATCTTTTTTTCATTCTTGTATGTCTTTATTATTATTATAATTATTATTATTACAGTGGTCCCTCGGTTAACGAGCGCCTCGGTTAACGAGCGCCTCGGTTAACGAAATTTCGGTTAACGAGCTGCCTCCCATAAGATTCTTAAATTCGGTTAACGAGCAACCCCTCGGTTAACGAGTTTCTTACGAGCCGACCTCAACATGTTTTCGCTTGCACTGGCCGGTCAACCGGCTGTAGTATTAGTCCGCCAATACATAAATCAGCTCTAGGGCTTAAATTCCTTACTATTTTAGTACCTGTATATATCAAGAAGTTTATACAATTCAATAATTTTAAAAGTTTAATATTCAATTTTTTAGTCATTTTAACAATTATTGAACATAATTGAAGGTAAAGTGACTAGTTTAATGCGCGGCATCCAGCCTCTTACACAGCAAACAGGCGTTAGTCTCTCTCTCTTTTCACTGGAGGTAACATCTTGCTTGAGACTCTCTTCAACTAAACGCTTTTTTTCTGTGTTTCCAAGCAAATTATTGGTCATTTTGAAATTTATTTTACATATTGACAATATATAGCGCATTGCAGTGTTATTTTAAAGAAAATATTCTTTATTTACAACAAGTTTAACTTTGAAAAACACGTGTTGACATTGTTTGAATCCAGCATGGGGCCTAAGAGATCAAGAAAAGCTATTTCAATCCAAACCAAGCAGGAAATCATAAAAAAACATAAACAAGGCATTAGAACAAATGTGCTTAGCAAAGAATATGGCATGTCGACATCAACTGTGTCGACAATTCTTGCACAGAAAGACAAATTTAAAGAAGTGAAAGAGAGAGACAAATCTACAAGTGTTTAAAAGTAGATCCCTAATCGCAGAAACTGAGAGGTTACTTATCATCTGGATTAGGGAAAAACAGATGAAAGGTGATTCAGTTTCTACTGAATTCATTTGTGAAAGAGCCAGGGAGATTTACGAACATTTAAAGGCAGATCAACCTGGTTCTTCAAGCACAGAATTTGAAGATTTCCGGGCCAGCAAAGGCTGGTTCGAAAAATTTAAGAAAAGAAGTGACATTTTCAGTGTTGTTAGGCATGGTGAAGCTGCTAGTGCTGATAAAGAAGGGGCAGCAAAGTTTTTAGGTGAATTCAAAAAACTGATGGAAGAAGAAAATTATCTTCCACAGCAAGTGATCAATGTGGACGAAACTGGGCTGTTCTGGAAAAAGATGCCCAAAAGAACATTCATCACCAAAGATGAAGCCTCTTTACCTGGGCATAAACCCATGAAAGACCGTCTCACTCTATTGCTTGGTGCCAATGCTTCAGGGGATTTCCGACTGAAGCCTGTGCTTGTCTACCACTCTGAAAACCCCAGGGTGTTCAAGCAACAGAAAGTGGTAAGAACAAAGCTTGGAGTTTATTGGAAGTCCAACCGTAAGGCATGGGTGACAAGACAGCTCTTTAATGAATGGGCTGTTGATGTGTTTTGCCCTTCTGTCAAGAGCTACCTAACCACCAATAAACTCCCTTTAAAGGCTCTTTCTCCTCATGGATAATGCTCCTGGTCATGACCCTGACCTTGCCAGCAGTTTGGAGTATCAATTTGACTTTGTGAAAGTGTTGTTTTTGCCTCCAAATACTACATCAATCATACAGCCAATGGACCAGAATGTGATCAGCAACTTCAAGAAGTTGTACATGAAGAAAATGTTTAGGAGGTGTCATCAGGCAACTTCCAATGATCCTGAACTAACACTGAAACAGTTCTGGAAGACACAATTGAACATCCTGGAGGCTGTAAAATTGATTGTGTCATCATGGCAAGAAGTCTCTACTAGATCCCTCAATTCTTCATGGAAAGCACTATGGCCATCAGTAGTCCATGATTTTGAGGGATTTGAGGAAGAAACAGAGTTGGACCAGGAGATTGTGTCCATTGGTCAGTCATTGGGCCTTGAAGTGGAGGAGGAGGACGTGGAAGAGCTTGTGATGTCTCATGAGGAGGAACTTACTCCTGATGACTTGAAGCAACTGGATGAGATGTTACAGGTAGAGGTGACAGTGGTGAGGAGGATATTGAAAGTGATGACCATATGTCAGCTAAACAGTTGAAAGATGTGATTTACAACTGGGAGAAGTTCAGGGAACTGGCTTCAAGGCACCCAGAAGTGGAAAAAACTGAACTAACTTTGTGCCATGTTGAGGACTCAGTGGTCTCCTTCTTTAAACGTAAGTTAATGGTGAGGAGGACAGATGCCCCACAGACCACAATTGACACTTTCTTCAGTAAAAGGCAGAGGGAACAAGATGCTATCCCTCAGCCTTCCACTTCAAGAAGGAGAGAGGATGTTCATGGTGGAGAATCTGTCAGTCCAGAAGTTCCTGACATTTTCATGGAAGGTGACTCACCTTCCAAGAAGCAGTAAAATGCTTCTCCTTCACCTCCACTTCCTTCTCTTCTCCCTTCTCCTCCTCCACCTCCCACTTCAAATGCACATCATCATCATCATCCAGGAGCCTTCTACATACACACCTCAAAGTAAGTGAACTTTTCTACCATTTTTGTTGAATTTAGGCAATTTTCGGTGAGCTGGAACCAATTACCCAAAAACCCATTGAAACAATGGTTTCGGTTAACGAGATTTTCGGTTAATGAGCAACCTGCTGGAACGGATTGTGCTCGTTAATCGAGGGGCCACTGTAATATTAATTTTATTATTATATTTTATTATTATTATTATTGTTATCATTATTATTTTATTTTGGTG